ACTAAATTAAATAATCATAACTTATAAAAAATGTCATAATTAAGGAAACAAAGATATTGAGATTAGAAAATAAATTTGACTGCCAAGATATCTGAGAAGGAACTTCATCTCAATAGAATTGCGAGAAAGATGTCCATTTTTCTAACATCAAGCATAGAGACCCAAAGGCAATGAATTTCGTTCCCGGTATTTCTTGGCAAACAAATTAATAAATAAAGTAAAATCAAGCAAGATATTATATATATATATATATATATATTCATCAAGAAGAAAACCAAATAATGATAGAAAAATTCTCAAAAATAAATAAATTAAGATTATAATTTTGATTGCAAAGAAATCTAAGAGTCTCAAGGGAAGTTGCGAGAAAGATATCCGTTTTTTTAACATCAAGCATCTGAGACTCAAAAGTAACGAATTTTGTTCCAGGGATTTCTGGCCAAACAAACTAGTAGATAAAGTACAATCAAACAAGAAATAGTACATATTCATCAAGAGAAGAGAAAAAGAAAAAAAAAAACCAAATAATTAAGAGAAAATTATTAAAAATCAATAAATTAAAAATTAAGAATATAATTTTGATTACCAAGAAATCTGAGAGAGGAACTTAGTCTCAATTGAGATTGCGAGAAGGATGTCCACTTTTTTACAATCAAGCATTGAGATGTAGAAGCAATCGATTTTGTTTCAAGAATTTCTTGGTAAACAATCTAAAGATATATAGTAAGATGAAGCAACAAATAATTTATTCATCATGAAGAAAACCAAATAATTGTAGAGAAATAATTAAAATTAAAGAAAATATTAAATAAAGAATTATAAGTGAAGAATAATAACTGTGAAAACAAAATATTATAAAATAATTACCAAGTAACCAAAAAAAAAAAACATAACTTATGAAGATGTCATAATTAAGGATACCGAGAAATTGAGAGTTAAGATTATAAATTTGATTGTCAAGAAATCTAAGAAAGAAAGTCTCGATGGAGATTGCAAGAAAAATGTCCCTTTTTTTAACATCAGTATTGAAACCCAAAAGCAATGAATTCTGTTCCTAGTGTTTCTTGGCAAACAAACTAATAGATAAAGCAAAATCAATCAAGAAAAAATACATATTCATCAAGAAAGGAAACTAAATAAAGAGAGAAAAATTATCAAAAATAAAGAACTTAGAAATTAAGATTATAATTTTCTTTGCCATGAAATCTGATAAAGGAATGTAGTCTCAATATAGATTGCGAGAAAGATGCCAGTTTTTATAACATTGAGCATTGAGATCCAAAAGCAATCAACTTCGTTTCCAAGATTTCTTGGCAAACAAACTAATAGATTAAGTAAAATAAAGCAGTAAATAATATATATTCATCAAGAAAAAAACCAAATAATCGGAGAAACATCATGAAAATAAAGAAAATATTAAAGAACGAATTATAAGACAAGAATAAGAATTATGAAAACAAAACATTAAATAAATAATTACCAAGTAACCAAATTAAAATACCACAACTCATAAAAAACTCATAATCAAGGAAATTGAGAGAAAAAATATAATATATATTCATCAAGAGAAAAATGAAAAACAAAACAAAACAAAACCAAAACCAAGACCAAAACCAAATGATAAGAGAAAAATTATCAAAAATAAATAAATTAAAAATAACGAATATAATTTTGATTACCAAGAAATCTGAGAGAGGAACTTGGTCTTATTGGACATTGCGAAAAAGATGTCCCCTTTTTTACCCATCAAACATTGAAACGCAAAAGCAATCAATTTTGTTTCAAGAATTTCTTAGCAAACAAACTAAGAGATACAGTGAAATAAAGCAACAAATAAAATATATTCATCATAAAGAAAATCAAATAATTGTAGAGAAATAATTAAAAATAAAGAAAATATTAAATAAAGAACTATAAGTGAAGAATAATAACTATGAAAACAAAATATTATAAAAGAATTACCAAATAACCAATTTCAAAAACCATAAGAATGTCATAACTAAGGATACCAAGAAATTAAGAGTTAAGAATACAAATTTGATTGCCAAGAAATCTGAGAAAGAACTTAGTCTCGATGGAGATTGCGAGAAAGATGGAGATTGCGAGAAAGATGTCTGTTTTTTAACATCAAGCATTGAGACCTAAAACCAACGAATTTTATTCCCAATATTTCTGGGCAAACAAACTAAAAGATTAAAATCAATCAAGAAATAATATATATTCATCAAGAAGGAAGCCAATTAAAGAGAAAAATTATCAAAAATAAAGAAATTAAAAATTAAGATTATAATTTTCTTTGCCAAGAAATCAAATAAAGGAACTCAGTCTCAATGCAGATTGCGAAAAATATGTCCGTCTTTTTAACATTAAGCGCATTGAGACCCCAAAGCAATCAACTTTGTTCCCACAATTTCTTGGCAAACAAACTAATAAGTAAATAAAGCAATAAATAATATATATTCATCAAGAAGAAAACCAAATAATTAGAGAAAAATCATGAACATAAAGAAAATATTAAAAAACGAATTATAAGGCAAGAATAAGAAATATGAAAACAATAAATAATTACCAAGTAACCAAATTAAAATACCATAACTCATAAAAATATCATAATTAAGGAAATCGAGAAATTGATAGTTAAGATTATAAATTTGATTGCCAAAAAATCTTAGAAGGAACTTTCTTAACAGAGATTGCGAGAAAGATGTTCGTTTTTTTAACATCAAACATTTAGACCCAAAAGCAATGAATTTTGTTCCCGGTTTTTCTTGGCAAACAAACTAATATATAAAGTAAAATCCAGCAAGATATAACATATATTCATCAAGAAAAAAACAAAATAATGAGAGAAAATTTCTCAAAAATAAATAAATTAAGATTATAATTTTGATGGCCACGAAATCTGAGAGAATGTCTCAATGGAGATTGCCAAAAAAATATCCATTTTTTTAACATCAAGCATCGAGACCCAAAAAGCAAGGAATTTTGCTCCCGGGATTTCTTGCCAAACAAACTAGTTGATGAAGTATAATCAAACAAGAAACAATATATACTCATCAAGAGGGGAAAAAAAACAAAAAACAAAAAAAACAAATAATAAGAAAAAAATTACCAAAAACAAATAAAATAAAAATTAAGATTATAATTTTGATTACCAAGAAATATGAGAGAGGAACTTAGTCTCAATGGAGATTGCAAGAAAGATGTATCCCTTTTTACCATTAAGCATTGAGACGAAGAAGCAATCAATTTTGTTTCAAGGATTTCTTGACAAACAAACTAACAAATAAAGTAAAATAAATCAACAAATAATATAATATTCATCAAGAAGAAAACCAAATAATGAGAGAAAAATTCTCAAAATTAAATAAATTAAGATTATAATTTTGATTGCCAAGAAATCTGAGATAGTCTCAACAGAGGTTATGAGAAAGATATCCATTTTTTAACATCAGGCATTAAGACCCAAACAGCATGAATTTTGTTCCCGAGATTTCTTACCGAACAAACTAGTAGATAAAGCATAATCATACAAGAAATAATATATATTCATCAAGAGGGGGAAAAAAAAAAACAAACAAATAATAAGAGAAAATTATGAAAAATAAATAAAATAAAATTTAAGATAATAAATTTGATTACCAAGAAATCTGAGAGAGGAACTTCGTCTCAATGGAGATTGCAAGAAAGATGTCCCTTTTTTTACCATCAAGCATTGAGACACAAAAGCAATCAATTTTGTTTCACGGATTTCTTTGCAAACAAACTAAGAGATAAAGTAAAATAAATCAACAATTAATATATATTCATCACAAAGAAAACCAAATAATTATAGAGAATAACTAAAAACAAAGAAAATATTAAATAAAAAATAATAACTATGAAAACAAAATATTATAAAATAATTACCAAGTAACCAAATTGAAAAACCATAACTTATAAAAATATCATAATTAGAGCATCTCCAACCCTGAACCAAAGTTTTCATCAAATCTGAGTAAAAAAATGACTTTTTCCTCAATCTGATACCCAGTGCTCCAACGGTTGATTTTCATCAAATTTTCATCAAATCTGTGCCGGGATAACCGGTTGGTCGACCGGTTAAGCCAAAATTTTTTTTTTTTTTTTTTTTACTTTTTGAACCTTTTTGAACTTTTTGAACCTTTTAACCGGCTGGTCGACCGGTAAGGTAAAAAAATTTTTTTTTTTTTCAACTGTTTGACCTTTTTTTGGAACTGTTTGAACCTTTTGGTGGTCAACCGGTTGGTCTCTCCCAACGGTCATGCACAGTGTTTTGATGAAATGCGGAGCCTGTCCTCATTTTGGTGAAACGTTTGGTGAAATCTCGATTTGATATCAATTTGGTGAAACCGTTGGAGCATGAAAAAGTGCTTTTTTCACCAAATTTTAAATTTGATGCCAGATTTGGTTCAGGGTTGGAGATGGTCTTAGTATACCAACAAATTGAGAGTTAAGATTATAAATATGATTTCCAAGAAATCTGAGAAGAAACTTTAGTCTTGATGGAGATTGCGAGAAAGATATCCAACTTTTTTAACAAGTATTGAGACCCAAAAGCAATGAATTTTGTTCCCAGTATTTCTTGGCAAACAAACTAATAGATAGAGTAAAATCAATAAAGAAATAATATATATTCATCAAGAAGGAAACCAAATAAAGAGAGCAAAATTATCAAAAATAAAGAAATTAGAAATTAATATTATAATTTTCTTTGCCAAGAAATCTGATAAAGGAACTTAGTCTCAATGCAGATTGCGAGAAAGATGTCCTTTTTTTTAACATTAAGCATTAAGACCCAAAAGCAATCAACTTTGTTCCCATGATATCTTAGCAAACAAACTAATAGATTAAGTAAAATAACGTGACAAATAATATATATTCATCAAGAAGAAAACCAAATAATTAGAGAAAATTATCAAAAATAAAGAAAATATTAAACAACGAATTATAATTCAAGAACAAAAACAATGAAAACAAATTATTATAAAAATAATTACCAAGTAACCAAATCAAAAAACCTTAAACTCATAAAAACCAAATAATTTGAGAACCCTAATTTCGAAGCCCTAATTTGAAAAATAAAACCCTAATCAGTTGTTATTCAATTCTCTAATTCTGTTTTGTCGTTAGATTTGATTGTTTTGTTTTTTGTTGGTTTGCTCTAATATTGAATTTCAATGCACCCCTAGTTCAAAACAAGGGAAATATAAAGAATGTAAATGCACCAACCAACCCATTGAATTAACCGAGAACAACAAACAGATATGTATGCTGTAATTGTACTAACAAATGAAAAGGAACTGTAAGCTCCACATAAGGTCATGAAGGAGATGGACAAAAAGTTCACACAACATTCAAATGACAGCATGTTGCACAACTATAAACTAAATAACAACAAATTTCAATTTAATAATTTTTCCATTGACCATTCACGAATCACAACAAATAGGCAATTTCTTTAATACAAATACCATAATGAAACTTTAAAAACTAATTTTGACAGTAATTTCCAGTATTCACACTTCCTTTGTTTCAGTCTGATTAGAAATTTTCCCATTTATTTGGCTCTTATGGTCTCAAGTTGTGCACAACGTAACAAAAACAGAAATTCAGGAAATTACAAGACCCACTACAGATTCTTACAAGTTCAAAAACCCACAAAAGTAAGATTTTAAGCCTACAAAGGCCGAAAAGTCACTCCCATCGACACATGAGCTACTATGCAAACAACACCTAAACAATATAAAATACTAAAAAAATACACAACCCACAGAAACCAAAAGAAAGAAACACACAATTACAAACAATTATCAAAACCACTAAAGAGGTGAAAGAGTGGATAGAATAAATATTTACCTTGGATCAATTTCAATAGCCAATTCAATTAGAGGAGCAATTGAAGCCCCTTCAAACAGTGCATCCACCATCAAGAGTGAAACCCTCTTTTGTTGCTTTACCAAGAAAAGACAAAAAATTAAAATCAAATACCCAAAGCTTGAACGTATCACAAATAAATGACAACACATGGTGCAAAAAGGCACAAAACAAAGAGATGCCCACCTCTTCATATGGAGGGGTTGAGGGTAGCCAAACAATGCTTCCCAGATAACCTAAGGTCGTGAGGAGGCCTCCAATATTCCAGAGGGTATGCAGATAAGCTCCAGCAGCCGAAGCAATCAGAGCACAACATAGTGAGTGAGAGATAAACCTGTAAATCAACAACTTATTTGAGAAAATATATAAATAAAAGGAATATTGAAATTGGAAGAATAAAGATGATCACTTCTATCTCTCAATCAGGACTTACAAGTCTAGGTGAAAAAGATGGACACAGACAAGTAGCCAAGAAAGGTAAGAATCGTCAGTTTCACGTCCTCTTCTGTTTTCTTCAAATTCTTGCAATATGAATACAATACAATAGGCAAACCAATTCAATTGCATAATTTAAATTTCCAAAAGATTATCGATCAGAAACCCTAATATTTCTCGACTCCCGTTTGGTTGCTCGGAAAAGGCACGAATCGAAAAGAAAGTATAATTGAAAAGATCAAAATTCCAGAGATCATGAACCCAAACGCTAACGTTTCGTTCAAGGCGATTTTAACCGTTTTCACGAATGCAAACAGAAAAACAACAAATTAAACCAGAATGATGTTCTCTCTTTTATTTTCCTTCGTTTTCTCACAAACCAAACGCAGAGAGAGAGAGAACAAAACCTGTTTGAGATGGGTTTGGACGATCAGAGAGATCGGACGCAAGTTCTTGAGAGAATCGTAAGTCCAACTGTTGCGAGAGGCCGATTGAGATTCGAACAACGACGAGAGAGATGGAGAAGAGGAAAGCACAGAATTGTATATGAAAAATGCTTGGCAGCACTAATTAGTGCTCCACTAATTAGGTGGCAGTTGGTTTTGTCATTAATGATGTGATATTTTAGTCTTGGAGTTATATTTTTTTTTTTTAATGTATTAGTGTTATTAGTGATAATATTTTTAGTGGAATGAATCATTGTTGATTGTATATTACTCTTCCATTATTTCCCTTATATAAATAAATTCGGAACCCCAAACTCTGTTAAGCCCCGTTTGCTTTCAAAGATAGAATGGAGAGGATTGATAGTGAGGGGATTAATAGTAGGGGATTGTTAGTGAGGGCCGTTTGTTTTCAGAAATAGAATGGAAGGGATTAATAGTGAGGGAATTGTTAGTGAGGGGATTGATAGCGAGAGGATTAATAGTGAGGAATTGTTAAATTATTTTTATATAAAATAATAAAACAAATAAAAAAATATAAAAAATTAAAAATTATATTTTAAAAAAAATTTCCCATATATAAAAAATAAAAAAAATAAAAAATTTCTAATCCCCTCACTATTTTTCTAATACTATCTCTACTTCCTCCTTACCAATCCCCTCTCTAAGGGTATTAGTAATACCAAGGGACTAATAGTCCCAAGGCCTTCTCCCAAAACAAACAAAGCTATTACTAATACATTGGTATTAGCAATCCCAATACCCTCTCTTTCACCCAAAACAAACGGGGCCCAAGGGTATTAGTAATACCAAGGTATTAGTAGTACCCTCCCCATCTCTCAAAACAAACAAGGTATTGATAGTACCAAGGTATTAGTTAGTCCCAAGGTATTAGTAGTCCTAAGACCATCTCTCAAAACAAACACCCCATATACTAGTCTCAAGGTATTAACAATCCCAATCCCCTTCCTATAATCTCAAACAAACGGGGCCTTAACGTTCAAATATCCACCGATTTTCCTTTTTTTTTTTTTTTTCTTTTACAATCCCGCTACGTAATTTGAATAGATTAAAGCTCAAATGTCTCAAGGTGTCAAAACGACATTATTTTGGCATTTTTTTTTCTTTTCTTTTCTTCTTCCTCTGTCTTCCTCTATGTTCAAATCTGTTCTTCCTCTATTTTTTTTTTCTTTTCTTCTTCCATAACTCAAAATCAAAAAAAAAAAAAAAAAAAAAAAAAAAGCAAAAAAATCAAACAAGATCTGTGTTGGTTAGATCTGTGTATACACAGATTTACCCATCAAACACCAACTCATCACTCCCTTTTTCTCATCTTCTACACAGACACAAACCGACACAGAGCTATATATATATATATATAAGAGAGAGAGAGAGAGAGCCCACCGTCGCAAACCCACGCCGCCATCACCGTCACAGTTCAAAAGGAAGAAGAAGAAGACCAAGACATAGGAGGAGAGATAAAGAAGAAAGAGAAAGAGAAAGGGATCAGGCCTTCGAGTCCCATTTTTTCGAGTTACGAAACTTTACTCTTTTTTGATTAAGAGATTTATTAGGAAATTCTTTTTTAAATACTTGATAAATCTTATTATTTAAATATTTAATTCACTAAATCTTAATTTTTATACTTAAAATATTTTATGAATAATTTTTTTCTTATAAATATTTTTAAATAATTAGTAATTAGTGATGTGAATATTCATATTTTACAATGTGAACATTTATATTAACAAACATTTACAATGTCAATGTAAATATTATTATTATGATTATTTTGATAAATATGTCACCCATAAGACTTATTGAAACATAATAAAATAATTTGAAATAAGTGGAATATAAATAGAAAAAAAGAGATTTATGAATAAATACTCTTTTTTGATTAACCGCCATTTAGGTTTTGACTATCTATTTTCTTTTTATAAAGAAATTTTAATTTTTTTAAAAAAAACAAATTTCTTATTTTGCCTATAAATACTAATATAATTATTGTGTTTTGGCACAAACTTAAATAAATAATTAAAATTTAATTTTTAATTAAATAATAATAAAATTATTTTTTTAATGTAAAAGAAAATACTTAAGAATTAAATAAATTATAACAATATTCATCCTTTATTTTGATTTAGGTAGAATTTTATAGGGAGAAAAGAAAAGGTAAAATACTAAAAATAAATATAACCTAAATTTATGAAAAATACTTATAGTAACAAACTCATTTTCTCATTTTTAAATACAAAGTAAGGGGATCGGCGTTGATAAATGCTCATAGACTCCACTTGTGTGAGAAAATGAAAATAAAAAATAAAAAATTAAGAATAATACTTGGGACCCCCTTTTGGGGGTCACCCCCTCACCCCCCTTTGTCACGTGGCGGGTGGTGATTGGAGGAGCAGGAAAAAAAAGAAAAAAAAAAAGAAAATGTAACCAATGAGAGAGAGAGGGGGTCAAAGGGGGTGGGAGGAAAAGGGGGGATGAATCATTGTTGAAAAATTAAATGATCTCATAATATAAAAAATATTTATAGTGCTCCCAGCTAAAGGGAAATCACAACTCATTTGAAGTGAGTCATCCATTTTTTCACAATTATCTAATAAAGATGAATTATCATGTTTCACTCATAAAATTTTTATTATACCATTTGTTCGGATTACCATATAAATGGAATTGGTTTTGCTATTGTCGGCCTAGCCTAACAGTACTTGTAGGCCCTATCTTAAGCCCTATGTCAATGTTCCAAGTCATTGGGTTTGGAAGGTTTATTGAGTAGATCATTTTTTCGATAGTCCATTTTTTTCAAGATAGACGTAATTTAAATTGAAGACTATTGATATCCGACCAAGTTAATTTTTTCATAAGAATGATCTATTCAATGAAGCAAACGGCTCAAATCATTGACGTAGCACTCGGGGTGTCCATAAAAAGCATTCAATTGATGTAGTACTTTCTTGACCCCACCCAACGGTCGTAACTATTATATAACGCCCTACTTTTTATGGGAAAAAAACTATGAGGTCCATAAAAAATATAAGTTGCTCTATAAATCACTGACGTGGCACTCGAGGATGGGGTCAACCAAAAAAAAAAAGTGATACTTTTTATGAATATTATTTTGTAATTTTTTTAATTGAAATTTATTTTCTCAATTTTGCTATGTATTGGTAATGAATTTATTATTATTTTTTAAACCATAGAGAGAGAGAGGGATAGGGTTTTTTGGTGAAAACTCCCTTATTGGGCCTTTTTTTAGTGTGAATGATAGCCCAATTTTATTTTATTTTTTACATAAACCCTCTATGAAGGAAGCGCATGACTAAGCAAGGACACACCAAAAATTTTCTTTTTTCTCTAGACAATATTGTCCTTGCAGACATATATATCACATATTTGAAAATTTGTAACGAAGTCAACGACCTCCAAATCTGTATCAAATGTTCTCCAAGTTGCAAGAACCCTAGCACAAACTCATTGTTGATCTTCAAATCTGTATCACATGGTTTCTAGCAATCTTCAAGTCTATATCAACGAAGTCGTTGCTTCCCAAAAAGAGCTTACGTTTCAACGAAGGAATCAAATCAAATTTTGAGAGTTTCATCGATCTTGAGAGTGTTGATTGAGTTTAAAAGGTTTTGCTTCGATTACATGTTTAATTATTGTTCAAGTTCAATTAGGTATGTTAATTTGTTGATTAAATTTTTTTTATTTTATTATTTATTGCATATAATTCGTAAACATGTGCTTTGTTTTTGTTTAATAGAATGCGAGTAAAATTTTACTCTAGTATTATATGCTTTGTTTTTAGGGTAAACCACCAATAGGTCCTAACAATTAGACTTAATTCCCATCAAGTCCTATTGAAAATAAGTCTTGATAAAATTGTCGCTAAAAATAGTTTTTTTTGTGACAATTTTTTATATATGTCGCTAAAAATTGACAATTAGTGACTTTTTTTGTCATGATTTTTATAAATTGTCGCTAAAACTTACAATTAGTGACTTTTTTTATGACAAATTTTTTTCATAGGACTTATTAGACAATAAATCCACTTATTAGGACCTACACATAAGTACCCCTTGTTTTTATTTGATAGAATGATAGTAAAATTTATATGCTCTATTTTTGTTTGATAGAATGAGAGAAAAATTTTACTTTGATTGTTAGTAAAGTTTACTTTGGTTTTTCATAAAATTAACAATAAAATTTTACTATCGATTGATTGTAGAATTATAATCTATTTATTTGTAGTTGTTTATTAACAGTAAAACTTTACTGTTATATATCATGCAGATTTGAAAAATGGTTCCACCTCTTCCATTCAAGGGTTCAGGCATTGTTGTCCTCTATTGTTTATTGATGATAATTCTTAAAGAGCAAATATAAGGGCACATTATTATCAACTACAATGAAGGATGGAGATCAAGATAGATATTACTATTAGTGTCTTACAAAGTAAATTTTACTTAATTTTAGAGTAACATTTTACTGTACTTATTTTCAGAGTAAACTTTTACTTTTAATTATAGTAACATTTTACTGTTACTTTTTTAGCCTTTTGTGTATTATACTTAATAATTGTAAAATGTTATCTCTTTTCGGATTTTTTTTTCTCTTGCAATGGGTATTATCCATACAATGACTACAGATAGTTGTGGATGACCTTGTTGTCCTTCATTTGATTTGTAAGAAGCCATCCAATAGGTCAAGAAAGAATAGGATTTCATCTAGGGGTGAGAACATTAGACGAGTACAGTGTAATGGATACAAGAAGTATAATCATAACAAGAAGACTTATAAGGAGATATTGTCATGAAAGACATTATTGTTTTGCAATGAAAGTATGAAAATAATGTACTACTTTTGCAATAATAGTCCATTTTTACTGTGTTGTTCAATGGTTGTCTATCCAATTTATTAAATTGCTTTGTAATTCAATTTTACACTTTAATATATTTTTTTAATATTCTTGATTAGTTTCATATAAAAGAATTTATAATGAGTTTGTTTAGTAGAAGTAAAGGTTTTGAGTAAAATTTTAGTCTGAAAAACAGTAAAATGTGTTACACCCAACGGTGTGTGTGTAAATTAAATGTATAATTAAAATAAAC